TTTCATTGCCATAGTTACCATCCCGTCCATGCATCATTATCCAACCAAAGGGTCTACCCACCACCACAGTCCTCAGCACACAGCCCCTTTCCCTCTCTGGATCTCAAGTCCCCAGTCACTCCATCTCTCCACGTCATCTTCTCTGCCTCCATTTTTGAAGGCACCCTAATGATACTGTTGTTGTTGTTGTCAGGTGCCATCGATACTAAGACAAGTATATTACTGAGAGAGCTATCCAATGACCACAGATACATGTTTAAACATGTTTTGTTTTGGGTAAACCCAGATATGTATGAACTGGAACCCTAATAACAATATGTTTTGACCTAATTTTGTATATAACAAAACATATATCATTTTAACCATTTTTAAGCGTGCAAGTCAGTGACATTAATTACTTATGCAACCATCAGCAGTATTTATTTTCAAGCGTTTTCACTATCATAAACAAAAAATTCAATTACTTTCAATAGTTAACTCTACATTTCCTTCTCATACAGCCCTGGTAATGACTAATGAACACTTGCCTATTCTTGGTATTTCAATTAAGTGGACCACACAATAATTGTTCTTTTGTGTCTGACTTATTCATTCAGCATAATATTTTCAAATTTATCCATGTTGTAGCTTAACTACCATGCTTTAGTATATCTCTGGGCCTGGGTAGTGAGACCAAACAGAGACTAGGGCATGAATAGTCAGGCAAGAGAGTGTTGACTTTGTGTGCCCACATTGTTTACTTTTACCAAGTAACTGCCCAAACCTTATCTTGTAGCTCACTCAGGGAGGTGCTGTATGTACTTTGCGGGTCAGATCAGGTAAGATCTGTGCAGCTTGGAGAACACTGCTCCTGATTTTGTGACTCTGATATTACCCAAATACACCGGTTTTAAGAATAAGGTCCAAACACATTTCACAATCTGTGCTTTGTGACTAGGATGCTTATCACCTAGAATCCAGTCAGAATCTGGATTTTGTCTTGATGGTTTAGAACACGCAGGTGCATGTGGTAACATCTGGATGGCTAAGTGTAGTTCTTTCGGTTTGCATCTAGACATTTGATACCATTATGAGAAAGCACTTATTTCTCACTCTTTAACATTTCCGTTTTTCAACACCCACCCACAAATGGCCAGGATTAGCTAGCGCTGAGAAGAAAAAAAATTTTTTTAAATCACTGTGTTTCTTAAGTACTGGTATTTATTTGACAAGATATACAAAAATACTAGTACTTGTCACTTTGGCTAAAAAATCCAACTCTGACTTGCATGAATTTTCAGCTCTCCCGAGTGTGAGCATGTGTGGGTGAATGCGTATGAGGATGTGTGCATGGATGTGTGTGTAGGTGTAGTGTGCCTAGCCAGCTATTTGGTTCATTCCCTATACATCCCAGAGTCTGAAAAACTGATATTTGAAGTGGGTTTTTGTTGTCATTATTTGCTTTTGTTTTCTCTTAAAACTGTGAATTTGGCACATGCAATTCATTTCAGTGTTAGCAAAAAGGCATTGAACTGAATATTTGGAAAAAATGACTGGCTAACGAGGCTTTATTTTAGAGTCCAAGTTCTGGATCTGATCCCGAAGAAGGGGAATTATTTCCTGGGCCCAGACAAAGCATCCATTTCGTGGGAAAAGGATGCCACTCTGTGTGTGGGCATGACTCCCAGCATGTATTGTCTTCCATTATGATATGCTCACTTGTCACCCTAGTGGAAAGGAACCATGACAGAGAAAATTGAAAACCACTGTACGAGCCCCAAATCCCACACTGGTAGGAGAAAGCAGGACATGATCTTTCTAACAGCTCTTCCTCACCTGGCAGGATCAGGAGAAAACTGGAAGATGCACTATCTGTGTGAGGGGCTGGGCACACAGGGAACTAGTCCAGGCTTCTGAAACCCTGTAGAGGGTCGCTATGAGTCAGAACCAACTCCATGGCACACTATCACCATCACCACCACGAACAATTTAAGACATGTGACCGAGAACTTTTTACAGAAATTCATCTTCCCTTTCTTACCTTGGAAAACCTCACAAACCTTTGGCTGATTCCAAATGTAGCATAATAATTATAGAACACATTCAGGGGAAACCCTCTGAATTTTGATCAGGAAAAATGGGCCCAGATGCTCATATATTTTTTTCTCTCACTGGCTATGAATTTTTTTGCCACTTAGCCCTGATTTATCCTTGGTACCTTCACTTAGATATTCTGTGTCACTAATCTGAACAAGACAGAGCTGGCCTATTAAGCAGTGTGTGTTTCAGTATAAGAATATTTATCAAGCCTATCTCTGTCCCTTAGTTACTCATCCACTCAATTGACAAATGATGTTTCTGGTCCTGATCCTCCAGCTGAGAACAATTCACCTGGCTTGGAATGCTGATCTGTTTGATTTGTTTTGTGGAAGTCAATGTTCACTACCGTACACCTATTTCATTCTTATTATACAGCTCAAGGATTAACCTCTAGACTTGAACTTGGCCATGATCGGCAGGGAAATCTAATTATAAGAGGCACAGAATCATCAGGATTGCCATAGTGAAAGCTTCCCCTTACAGAGCAATAACCCTCTGCACCAACTTGGTGGAAAAGTCTTAGCCAAATTAGGCATTGTTGACAACCTCTTGTAAGTTCATTAGGGACAGTCTCTGTGGCTGTATTTTAAAGAAGGGACAAAATGAGTTGAGGTTATAAGGTCCTCCTTAAAAGGAACGCTGAGTAATTTGGCCCATTTGGATCTCTAAGGACTTTCATTTGTACCCAACCCTCGTGACATGAAACTTCAGTAGACTAACAAATGAACTAATTTTTGTCATTAGATGGGATCTTATGGACTCAGTTATGTGAAAATTAGTTGAGTCAATTGGTAAGTAATTTAATAATTTACTCATAACTCAAGTCGTATGACTTAAGTAATCTCTGAATGGAATTGAATAGTTAAAAGTTTTTTAAAATGACATAATAAAAAAATTTGAATAAAAAATGGGTAAAGTTTTATATAAGCTTGTCTGGGCAAGTGTTCAGAAACTGACCACATAGGACTTTTAACTTACATACATCAGAAAAACTCAATAAGCAAAAATATAAGACAAAAAGAGCAAATGAGGAAAGAGTGTTTGCAACATGAAAAACAGACAATGGGTTGCCGTCTTTCTTACATAAAGAATTCTTATAAATCAGTATGAAAATCCAAACATCATAATAGAGAAAACTACTTCAGTGAAGACTTTTTGCTTTTTATGGTGACAAGAGCTCCACAATTAACTTTAGATGTCATGCTGGTGCCATTTAAATTAAACTT